TTTTACTACTGTTTTCTCTTACATTTACTTAAAAGTTAACCTTGCACTCTAAATCTCTGTACAGGGGAAGCTTAAAGGATGGAGAGAAGCACAGAGCTGTATTTGCATATTAGTTTACATATGACTTCTTATCAAAGCATGGAGTAGTTATAAATGAGATAATTGGAGTATTGTAGGGTTAATGCTCTCTCAAATTCTCCCATGTTTGCCACTACTATTCCTAAGCAATATCTGTAAAAATCAATGTAATAATCCATTAGTGATATATTTTTATAGTCATTAAAATAAAAATGTTTATGCATCACCTACAATCTTGAATTGTACTAGGAATTATACATAGCATGCTTTAGAAGCTACTGTTGTAGAAGATTTAAGATATGTACAGAAATAGCTGACTTGAGAGAGAAAGTGCTAACAGCCATTAATTGCTATGATCAAGGTATAAACAAATCACAAAGATTCAATGAGAGAGAAATGAGTTCAAGGAACAAAACATGTACTTATATCACACACGTGCTAATAGTGAACAAATATGGTAGGGCTTTGGCAAACTCTGCTTACATGGACTCTGCCGAAAGCCATTATTAATGCTTCCTCACCTACCTCATCTTATCCCATAAAACATCTGTTTGTTTAAAAAGAAACTGTATACTAACTCTTCAACTACAAGTTAAAAATCATGACTTTTCTTTCAAGGGGAAGAAGAATGGGGAATAAACATGCCTTCTGCAATTTTACTAAAAAATTCCAATGTTAATTAAAACCATATATTTAGTATGGGTAAAGGTAATAAATGGGGATGTCTTGGACAAAACCATGCTCCTCTGTGAATTCAAATTAGTGATGCTGTGTTACTGGCTGACTTTTGAACATTCTATTCTATTTGAAACAGCTCAGCCAGGAAGGAAGCCTGTATGTCCTACAGAAACCCAATTAGGCTTGATGAAAGAGAGGCCATGAAATGCTTCTCTTGTCTACCAAGACAGAGAAAATGTTGTGTTAGATTCAGCTTTCAAATGAATTCTAAATATAAGCTTTTAGATCAGGCTTTGTCCAGTCAGCTTGGTCAACTTAAGACAATATTACATTTGATGCTCTCACAATTGGGGATGATGGTCCTGCTCAAAATCTTGACAGGCTTCTAGAAAGCTGATCCTTTTTGTTCTGGTGATTGCCACAGGAATAAACAGAGGAGATGGCTCTAGCCTTGGAGTGATTGAAAGAGAACCTGACTTGCCCACTTCCTGCTAACCCTTCCCTACACCAGCAGCGTGGTCGTGTTGGATGTTTCATTGCCTTCTTACAACAGGAACAACGTACGAGAAGCCAGCTGCCAATACAGTCTGCTATTCCAACAGTTATTTGTCTGTCAACAGGAATATAGTCAGAATCTACAACTGAAATTCATATAGTGATCCTCTCCCAAACTGAGATGTGGATAAATGTTTTCTTGTGCCTTGTCACTACAAACCTCTTTTCAAAAGACTCTTGAGCATCTTTCTTTCCTCTGAACCCCCAATGCCGTTTACTGGGGCCACTTTTATGGGGCTACCTTTATAGCATTTAGCCCGTTTCTTTTTTGTGCCACAGTAATTTGTATGAAGGATTTAAATTCCTAAGGGTTGGTAATGTTTTTTGCTATTGTGCCATTCTCTTGAGCTCCTAGCACAGTGCCTTGGTTTGCATTAGAAATCCAATAAATGTTTGATGAATTCTGTGTTTAGAAAAACAACAACAAAAACATGAATACTGTCCAATTACAACAAAAAAGTCAGAGATTTTTGCTTCATTTTGTTCACTGATGTGAGTCCCATGCACCTAGAAAGTTCCTGGCACACAGCTGACACTCAATAAATATTTGCTGAATGAATAAGTATTATGACTTTCCAAAGAGTTTGGAGAGTATCTATTTGATTGGCAAATACAGAAAGGGAAATATAATGTGTAAAGGAAGAAGTAGATTAGTAATTTCTTCTTCCTCTAGACCAGAGGTTGGAAAACATTTTCTATAGAGGGCCAGACAGTAAATACTTTAGTATTTGTGGGCCATATGGTTTCTGTAGCAACTATTCAACTCTACTGTTCAGTGCAAAAGCAGCCAAAGACAGTATGTGAATGAGTGTGGTTGTATTACAATAAAACTTTATTTACAAAAACAGTTGGCAGGCAAGATTGGACCCATGAGCAGTTTGCCAACCTCTGCTCTACAGCACGTGTGTCTGTTAGAATTAAGATAACTAGGTAAATATTCTCTCCTTTAATACCATGCTTTCTGCATCTTTATACATTTGTTCCCCAACCCCACACCTACAGGTACTGTGATTTGCAACATGGTAGCTGTACAGTATATGTGTGTTGCATTAAACTGAGTCTTAGACTGATTTCCTGGAACTGTAGTTTTCAGTAGAACCAGTTAACTCAAGTCCCTGTAATTTGCCTTTTCTTTGAATTCTGTCTTAGCAAATGTGGGGAAAGTTAATAGCTACTGAAATAATGTCTTCTGAAACTGATGGAGTAAGGGGCACATTCTCTCTTGAGTTCCTGTTTCTCTTATTTGAAGCATTTTCTTCAGGATGTCAATGAAGTATCATAGCTGGCTCTTCTGATTATCCATGAAGACAAGAAATGACTAACACAACTTTCTCATTACTCATTTAAGCTCACTGTTCTTTTAAAGCTGCCTTCTCTCTCAGTCTTTTTAAAAAACTTATTTTCATGAAAGGAGTATGAGAAAATGACCACTGGTATCTACAATTGGCAAAAATGTGTTCCTATATTTTTCTCTCCAATGACTACCAAAAATGTTATATTCCTGTGAGTTTTACGTTAAATTACTATATTATTTCAGGCCAGAATCTGTGACATATGGTGATAGTAGATATATCCATTGCTGAAATGTATCTGTTTAAAAAATATTTAAGTAGTATTAATGTGGAACGACGCTATCATAAAATGTGTTCTGCAGCTCTATCCTATATTTGCACTATCTACTTGCAAAATTTTCAAGCTTATTTTTCATTTTGCTAAGTGCTGGCCCCTCTTATGAACTAGGCCTGATTCCCTCTTCAGCTGCAAATGTAATTTTAAAAAGAACTCCAATGAGATTACTTGCTGAACATGTTAAACATTCATAGCTTTGCCATATGCTGTTATGGAAATTGCATTGATTTATAGCAATTTGGGTGCTACTAGATAGCACTGATTCACCTGATACCAACTCTAAGTGTACTGGAAAATAATGTTTTAAATGTTTCATTTGCATCTAGACCTCTGTTGAACTAAGAGGCATGTACTATGTTTATGCATTTTCGGAGAACACTGATTTTTACATATTGAAAATATATTCCTGTATTTGGTGACTTCTAGAAAAAAATTAGGTATATAAGGTCTAAACTGATACTGTCATGGCACAGTGGTCAATGACGTAAATTACTAAAGCCAGGAAGACTTAGGTTTTAACCCTGATTCAACCATTTAATTACTCTACAGCCTTGCTTTCTTCAATGGTATAAGAGGAAAAATAGTCATGCTTATCTGAGAGGATTGATGTGAATATTAAATATGATAATGTATATAAGGCATGTAACACCTACAAAAAGAGAAATGTCTTGTGGTTTGTTCTAAAATATGCTCAATAATCATTAGCTCTCGTAGCCTAAACTTTGTATTTCTGTTATAGATTAGCGGCACTCCTTTAAATGGTGGAGAAATGCTTGAGTTTGCAGGACCTGACTGGGAATGTTGAAAGATGATTTAGAGAACTTAAAAATTGCCATATGAGACAAGGTCACTACTATAGTGAATATACGGATCTATTAAAAACAAAGGTAAAAGGGAACAAAGTCACAGGATGTTCTCTTCACAGTAAGGGTATCAATAACCTGTCCTAATTGTGTTAATTTTTATTTGGAAGGGAGAAAGTATAATGCTCATTTTAAGCATGCTAAGAAGGACTTATGGAAATGAACACTGTCTTTATATCCACTGAGCATTCTATCCAATTACATTCAGAGGAGGAAAGATGCTTCTTAGAAATAATTATATTTCACAGTAATAAGTGAATATATACAGTGTAATGAATATTCATACATATTCAAGTTTGTAAGAACACAAAAAAGCCAGAAAATCCTTAGCTTTTTTTTTGTAATTGACTTGGAGTGCACATTTGAATATAGATGGATTCTCTCTGGGTCAGCATTCTCAACAGAGGGCATCTTTGCCCTCCAGGGAACATTTGACAATGTCAGGAGACATTTTTGGATGTTACAACTTGAGATGGGAGATGTTACTGGCATCTAGTGCATACGTTTTAGGGATGCAACTAAATATACTGCAATGCATAAAACTGCCTCTACCACAATGAATTAACTGGCCCCAAATATCAAGAATGCCAAGGTTGAGAAACCCTGCTCTAAAATGAGAGCTGCCCAAGATCAAATGGATTTAAAATCACCCAGATCCCAGATGGATACTGGATAGGCTCTAGAGAATGTATACTTTTTGTTAATATAGTTAAGTCTTCCCAGTGTCCTGTGCTGGCTCCGTGGTAATGAAACAAAAGCTGAAGTATTAATATGGAGTTCATATCCCCTCTAGAAGAAAATGACTAGAATTCCAAAGTACAATATATTATCTGACCTACTGCAGACTTCACTGTGGAGAGCAGCTAGACTTATACATAGAAGGTGAACATCACACTAAGACTTTGACCAAACAGTGACCAGGGGTTTCTTGGCTCTTAAGCAGCACCAGTTCCCATGAACAAGTAACATATCAAGCAGTGATGGCATAGACTTAAGGCTTACTTCCTAGACAAAATGTGATAAGCACAAATGCTAGATTTTTATTCTCTATTTCCACAGAATTGAAAATCTATTTAATATATCAAGGAAAATATTTTCTTTCACAAGTGCCCTTACACAAACAGAGGCTGCTTAAGAGGTTGTAGCCTTAAACATGGATACTACTTAAAGACTAAAAATGTATATAAAGAACATTACTTTGAAACTTTTGGTTCTGTACTTGATGTCCTCCTGGTGATGCTGAAGAGAATTTCTGCGAATTCTGTATTTAGAATATCTTCCATCAGTTCTCTCAGATGAACTACAGGAATCCTGGGGGAAAAAGCAAAGGGTCTGAACTGGTAGATGAAAGAAAATCAGTGCTTGAAATTAGAGTAAGAAAGAGTCTATATGTAGCTAAAAATGAAAATAAATAATTACAAAAATTTAGAGATATATAGGAGAATCACAGGCCACCATAAACAAGAAGGTTACATGCAGTGGCTCAAACCTGTAATCCCAGCACTTTAGGAGGCCAAGGTGGGAGGACTGCTCTACTCCAGGAGTTCAAGACCAGCCTGGGCAACATGATGAAACCTCACCTCTATAAAAAAATACAAAAACTAGTCAGATGTGGTGGTGCATGCCTATAGTCCCAGCTACTCAGGAGGCTGAGGTGGGAGAATGAGGATCGCTTGAGCCCAGGAGGCAGAGGTTGCAGTGAGACTGTGCTACTGCACTCCAGCCTGGGTGAAAGAGCAAGGCTCTGTCTTAAAAGAAAAAAAAAAAAAAAGAAAAAGAGAAAGAAGAAAATTGTCACTGTGGATAAAACCATAAAAATACAATGCATCCTACAGTGGTTACCTGAATTCTTTTAACAACGAATCCCTATGCCCATCTACAGTGACTGACACCCTTTAGAACAAGGTTCAAGTAGCAATGTACTGTCCAAAGATGTCATTAATGACACATGCCATGTTTGGATGCTGTGTACTATCCCTTGGATTGGTACTTAGCGTCATATATTCTTGTTTTAAAAAATTGCTACCTATAAAACTAGAGCCCTTTTACTTCACTTATCCATAAACAACATCCTACCTTTTAACTATTATGTCACGTAGATTTTTAAATTTAAGGATAGCTCCTTTGCCTTTATAAACAGAAAAAGATTCAGGTAATAAAAAAAGTTAAGAAAACAAAAATTTCCAGGGCCTGCCTTTTTTTCTTTCTTTTCTCTTCATTTCTTGGGGGAAGAAGGAACACAGCAAACAGTTACTCTAGACAATTATTTAGACATTTCTATTATTATTTAGGGAGAAATTAGAAAAACAATGAGGACAACTGATTTTGGTATGTAAAAAAAAATACATATAGGGATTTAGTGTCCCTCAAAGTCACAAGAAACCTTAAACTTACTGAATGTTCAAGCTAGAAGGGTTATTATAATTCCAAAGTTCTCATGCTTAGTACAAAAACAAAACAAAACAAAAACCTTTAAAAACTAGAGCCCAGGGAAGTTAAAATGATTTGCCCAGGGCTGGACAATTTGTGGCAGTTTGGACTTAGAACCCAATGCTACTCCCTTTCCACCTAATCAAAAATGTAATATTTAAATATGGAATTGTAGAGCTGAAACAATTTTTTTTTTTTTTTTTTTAGACAGAGTCTCACTCTGTCACCCAGGCTAGAGTGCAATGGCATGATCTCAGCTCACTGCAACCTCTGCCTCCTGGGTTCAAGCAATTTTCCTGCCCCAGCCTCCTGAGTATCTGGGATTACAGGTATGTGCCACCACAACCGGCTAATTTTGTATTTTTAGTAGAGATGGGGTTTCGCCATGCTGGTCAGGCTGGTCTTGAACTCCTGACCTCAGGTGGTCTGCCCACCTCAGCCTCCCAAAGTGCTGAGACTACAGGCATGAGCCACCACGCCCGGCCAACAATTCTTTCAAAATAAATATGACCACATTTAAACAAGAATAAAGTCAGGCCTATCCAAATAGGATAAGGTCTGTACTCACACTTAAAGTCACAGGCTATGGTCTATGTATCAAGAAATACGTATATAGGAACCCAGAGATAATATTGTTCAAGTGCCTCGTCACTTGAATGTGGACATATCTCCTGAGGCATTAAGTGATTTTTGTCTGGTGCATGAGTTTGGACCGGAACTTAGGTCTTTGTATTCTTGCTCACACCACACTGATTTTTAGAAAGTTTAAAGGGTTTGAATAAATATAATCTACATCTAATAATCTCAAGGCTTTAAGTATTTCATTTAAGGCCATGTCTAGTCATTTTTGTTAAGTTGATTAAAATCAGCTCTTTGTAATCACATAGAGGACTTCAGAGTACATGTAGAATGGATTTTAAGCTAAAAGCAGCAGGGCGAAGCAGATGGGCTCTGCTGTTTTACACAGAATTAGATCCCACCTCCAACTAGTTTATGGGCTCCAAGCTTCAGTGTCCTCATCTATAAAATGGGCGAAAATAATACCCATCTATAGGGTATCTCTGAAGATTAGGAAACATGTACCATAAAGTACTTAGCACCTGCTAAGTATCAAGACGTGTGTGCATAACACTTGCTAATTAACTCTTTCCCTTTTCAAGCTAAAGGTTTCAATTTTAATATATTGGAAAGTACAATGCTGAACTCTGAAAAAGACTTTCCCCCAAAATTTCACTATTTAGGCATCTTCATATGTGAGTTTGTATGTATATGAGCTAGACTTGTAGATGATCACCAGTTCATAGGATTAAAAATAATAATAATGAGCCTTTTGGTAATAGTAGAGAATACAACTTTTAAATTGTACTTATGAACATTCAGTTCATTGTAGACAACTGGGGCAAAAGTGATCTGTCACTGGAGGTTAAACTTTATATTTTTATGCTGGTATTAGACAGGTGTCTATTTCTCAGTGACGAGTGCCACCTGTTTCCCATACTTTCTCTTGTCTGCCTTTCATTTACTTGGATAATTTGTTAGCTACAGAGAAAAAATGAAAAGAATATGGATATAATATATTGCCTCCTATCACATCGGGTTGTTTAAGAGTAAACAGAAATTGCGTTGTTTTGGATACTGGTTTCATAATTCTTTAATAGATATTTAAACTGCAAATATATAATCAAATCATGAGAAAGAATCAAAACTCAGTAAAATATATTTGAAACACTTGGTTTTGTTCAATTTGGGATAGTCTAGCTTTGTAGATGTGTCAGCTAAAGTGGATCTCACTCAAAAATGTTAGTTACTGAATTACCAAAAGATGCTTAATGCAAGGTAATTTTAAGACAGTGTAGACCTTGGGAACCACATTATATCAATGCTTCCAATAAATCAATATGGCATGATCTGGCTATTTTCTTATCCACTGTATCTTCAAATAATATGTCAGATCTAAACAGAACCTAAATATAACATAAGTTATATTTTAAGGTCAATGTGAAATATGATTACATGGTTGCCAAAAAGAAATCCTTCCCATTGTTAACTTCAGCTATACACGGTCAATAAATTATAAATCATTAAAATTTTACATTGCATCTGCAGCCCTAAGGCTATATATGACATTCTCGGGACCAGACCTTGTCCGGCAGGACTGGCAACAGAGATATTTGTTTTGAATATCTCCTCTATGAGGAATTTAAAAAATTACAGAAGGTAAATTAACACATGTAACAAATTGGCCTGATAATGAAATGCTTTGTGGTTAGAGGTCTATCAATAAATGGCCATGAAATATGAAATGTGAAATTTATGTGGGTTTGAGTTCATATGTCATAGTATAAAGATAACCTGGGAACTACCATATGTCTAAAACAAACAGTACCCATATAATTCACAAATTAAAATTGCTAATCAAAAAAGTTACCTACTGTCAGTGTAATGTGTAACTCCCTTTAATTCTTAGGCTTTTCTAAATTATTGTTAAAGCTTTAGGGGCCCAACTGAGCATCTAGTAGTACAGTAAAAGTATCTTCCTATCTTGTGCTAATATATAAGTTGCATTGTTTTCAATTCTAACTTCACAAATGTCGATAAACTCTGATAAGGTGGTATGTTAAAAGTCCCCAATGTTTTTTAGTCCTTCTTCCTTCACTATACTTTTCTTTGCACATCAGGAAGATGTCAAGTATTCTCACTCAGATAAAATACTGAAACAGACAAGCCAACTCTTTCTTACTCTGAAGTCTTTGAAATCTTCTAGTAGGCTCAGTTTCTCAGGCACAGACTCCAGATGGTCCAAGGCCACTCGGGTACTCTGAAATAGAAAACATAAGGAAACCAAACGTTATAAAAAATTGATTAATACTCTCAGAATCCACATACTAAAAATCAGATGCACCACTGGAAGAAGCAGTTCAAGCTGTAGATTTAGACAGTCAAATAAGAACATATATAATAGTGTTTCCAAGATAAATGTATCTTTTGAAATCAGAAGAATTATTTCCTTTCAAAAAGTATATGAGATGCATTTGCAAGACTGATTCAGATACAAAAATTCTTCCTGGATAATTGCTTTCAACTGATATGCTATGAAACTTTCTATAGACTATTTCATATTAATATTAATTTACAAACCTGCTTCAGTGAACATCAGAAATAAACCATGAGGTAATACTGAGAAATAGATGAATCTGCAGTTACTTATCTATGGAGCATATTAGAGATTCTCAAATGTTGCCATTATAAAGAAGAAAAGAGTTCTTGGCAATTATTTCAGCTAAAAAGGAAGGAGGAGTTGTTCTCAAGATTTGGAAGAAATATCTGAAATTAAACATTTGCTTCAGGGACCCAAGATCCTGTTGATCATAAGTCAGTAACTTATTACATAGTCTTTAATTAGCTGATCACTTACACCCACCTGTGAACATTAAGAGAGAATGATCTGAAAATTATTTCAAAGTAAACATAAAATAAAAAGTTAAATGGTAAAATAACCTTAAGACTAGAGACTGCATATATATTATAAGCATCTCTGTATTCTCAGTTCTGTCACAAGGCCACACATCTTAGGTGGGTAACAGGTGCTAGCTCTTACATTTAAAATGAATTTTAATTGTTCAATGAAATAAACCATATACCCTATGGCTGACACATGGGAAGAAAGTGAAGTGTCCTGCAAGAACCTGGACATGAATTTACACAAAGTTGCAGAGAAGTAAGTGTCCCCTCAATATTCCACATACTTCCCTACTTCTCCCCTGTGAAAGCTCTAAACAATGGATTCTGAGAGTGTCACTTCTGGAATGAGACAGTTGAACCTGAGCGTTCCCCCTTCTATCCCAGCCCCTGCCATGAGGACCCTGATGGCCACATGCTCCAAAAGGTATAACTACAAGATTAATACGAGAGCTGCCCACCATATTGGATTTCATGTGAGTCACAGAATAACCTCTATTGTGTTAAGCCATAAGATTTCAGGGTTAGTTATCAATGCATCATATAGCATTAATTATCATAAATAATACCTACCCTGAGAATTAAATAATGAAATTGTAAGTTAAATAAGTAGTCAACTGGCTCATTTTGTGGAATGGGGAGTCTCTCAATTATGAATACGTATTTTTTTTTTCCCGGAGACAGGGTCTCACTCTGTTGTCCAGGCTAGAGTGCAAAGGCACATTCACAGCTCACTGCAGTCTCAACCTCCTGGGCTCAAGCGATCCTCTGACGTCAGCCTCTGAGGACCTGGGACTACCGGCATACACTACCATACCCAGATAATTCTTGTATATTTTTTTCGCGGGAGGAGTTCATTATTTTCTCAGTTAACTTTCCTATTTGAAATCTCCTATTTCCCCAAACAGAGAGATGCTCTCTACCTGGCATATCCAATCCAGAGCCTCAATGATGCAGGCTCCCCCACAACATATACTTTACGTCTTTCACAGGGTTCAGGGGTAGAGGCAGTTATGGAGACAGACGGCTGAGGGTCTAACCCTTCCTTACAGACACTTTCAATGTACCCATCCACCCCCTCCTTCAACAGTAACTGTGCTGACTATTCCCATGCAAAAGCCTTTCCAGAATTTTGCAGGGTGAATGATCTTCGATTGCTTTCCATTGCTATCCTCTTGGCAGGTCCTTGAGTTTCACCTTGTCTGTTCCGAGTCATTTTACTACTTTTCAGTGTTCTGTGACTTGGAGTTACAGATGTCTTCTAGTTTTGACAAGTGTAAATCAGTTTTTCTATTGCTTCATATCCTTATTTTTGTAATGAGATTTTTGAGAAGGGCAGAAACACCTTAACTCTGCTATTCCGAAAAGGAAGTCCGCGTGCTGTTTCTTCAGGTTCATAAAATTCTCTTTCTCAAGTTCCATTTAAAGGATTTAGTATTTTGTTCCTTCTGCTTTAACATTTATATTATTGTTAGTCTTTAGGCCACATGTACTCACACTGCCTTGTGTTTTAAATGACTTCATTTAATTTTTTCATGTGTAGGAAAGATTCACCAAAGTGATGTGTTTCTTACTATAGGCCACGACATGTAGGCTTAGGAGCTTGCAGTTTTAGCCACCGTATATGCTATATTTATTTAAACAATAAAATTATAGGTTTTCTCAAGAATTATACTGACCCTTGAACAATAAAATACAAAGCAATGCCCTGATGATTTTAAAGCAAAATTTTATGCATTGCATAAAATCCTCTTCATAAACACACTCCAATAATATCTGTAGTATTAAAACTTTATTTCCTTTTTTTGTCCCATATTTTTCTCATTTAGAAGTGATCTTCTGAAGCAAGGTTAAGTAAGTATGTAAAACTCATTCTGTGCTCAAAACAAGCAAATGATCTCTTGCCCTGCTGTAAAACGCAGCATGTTATGTAAATAGTTTTGCTTAAAATTTTCAATCAACCAGGTGACTACATGAAACCATTCTTTTCCTTGCATGCGTTTACATACTATTTTTTGACTATTATGTTTTTGGATGTACATTCAAATGGCTATGGTTTTGTGAGTGAATTTTGAAAAACTCCTTAACTCCTTCTGTTCTCGGTGCAGTTATTTTTATTCTCCCCTTCCTTGCCATCCCCCCCACCCCCATATCTCCATCAACCAATCTTTATACTTTCTCACTATTGATTTCACTTGTGGCTTATTTTATATTCCATTTATGCATTGCTTATAAATACCTTCCTCAATATCAGAAACACTCTCTGGTACACATACCTTTCTTTTCATCCTTATATTCTAGTCAATTAACAACAAATGTCTATCTTCGAGATCATAGAAAGAGCCACAAACATAGACGGCATGGTTCCTGTTCCTCAGGAGCATTCAGCTTACCCAGGGGAGCAAAGGATTTAATAATTATACAAAGAAAAAAGTTATTTGTACTTATTTTAAGGGAATTGCATGCACAAATGCTGAACTAACTAGGGCATTTTCAACAACAAGATGTGAAGCAATGAAGATGATGAGTCCAATCCTACAGGCATCTCAGGTCTCATAATTTCATGATTAAGTGATGTTTTTTTCGGAGAAAAATGTATTTTCTGGCTCTTCTCTCTCTTTCTCTGCATCTATGTGAGTGTACTTAAAACTGCCACTTTGGCATACAGACTCAAGAACATGAATAACATTGTAACTTTTTTTTGTTTTTTAATTTAGGATTGGCTGGGATTCTGTGATTAGAATCTTGTCACATTATTTGAGATTTCAAAATTATTTTCACCCCAAAGCTCATAGCCAGAGAGACAAGATCCATTAGCAGATGAATAGTTTAAAATAAGAAACTTACTGTATTTCAGAGATGTCATGAGGACCTATGTCATGTTAATTCCCAGGCAAATACTTTGTGCAGAGTCAGGGAAACATTTTGTTTTTTAAGTTGGTTAATTTTTTTTCTACCTTACATTATCTAATGCCTTAAAGGGCATGGACAAGTCCCCACTGTTAAAAAATTAAGGGAGCAAAGTTTATTTCAATAATGTCACCAGCATATGACACGTGCTTAATTTGTCTTTAATTTTAATTCTTTTCAAGAATAAATAAATCAGATGCTTACAACGGGGTTTAAAATTAGAAAGCAAAGAAAAGTTCACAATTAAGATTCCACTTCATAAAGGGCCAGTACATTGTATATATTTGATTTATCTCAGAGGCTAGAAGAGCTGGATTTCCAGGGGCCTAGAAGTAGGGTCAAAACAGATGATCTGTTAATCTTAATCCTATTTAGTAGCAAAACAAAAGACTGAATAATGAACACATAATTTGAGTTTGAATACACTTCATAATCCCTCACACCACCATATGAGATAGGTACGTATTATTGTTATCATCATTATGCAGATGAGGCAACTGAGGACTGGAGAGTGTAAATAACCTCTTTACAGTCAGATGGTGGCAAAGCTGTGATGCAAATCCAAGCAGCCGAAATGCAGAAACGGCAAGGTTCTTATTAGGAAAATATTTTCATGGCAAATTGTCAGCTAAAACAGACTACATTGCAACTAGAAGCTGAAATAGTGAGTGCTTTATGTAAATTCCTAAGCTCTCTCTAGCTATCAACTCTTAGCAGCTAGATTTCGAAGATGTGTCCTTGATAGGCTTATTTCTGAAAGAAAAGTTTTAAGATGAAACCATAAAGAATGACATCTCACTGGTGTTAAAGAGTCTGTACTCAGGACCACATGTATAAACAGACTCTTGTGTAAGCAAATACGCGCACGTGCATACACACACACACACACACACACACACACACCCCCACACACACACCGGGTCTGGCCAGTCCTTCTGTTGATTAGAGGATGTTAAATGTCAGAGGAGTTTTATGATACTAACACTGCCTTTTCTTTTTTTCATAACATTTAACACTAGTGAAGCATACTATCTGGCCTCTAAGAGGTGTTTCAAATAAATGTTGGCTGAAGGCAGACAAAGGTAGACTTACCATGTTCTAATAAACTCACTGAATCTTGACCTCTTTATTAAAAACCCAGAAGCACAAGTTTGATGTTTTATTTATTTCCTCTAGACTAAGGGCAAGATCAAGTGGTAGAAGCAACAGTGAAATTCAGAAATCTTGTCTAATAGGCCCTGTGGCCTTTGCACCTACAGATGTGTTTGGCTATCTGTTGACAAGGGCGAAGAGTAAGCTCTCAGTTTTGCCATTCCAAAATCTTCAATAAACATTAAACTCCTATGAAGTTGAGCTGTCTGTACTGTTCCACAGTACATTTTTCCTTAGGAGTTCCTTTATTTCTGACTGCAGGGAAACTGAATAATATAGTATGACAACATAAGGAGC